GAGGGTCTCTCACTGGAATTTCGACTTTATGTATCGTATGTTACAAATCCATTTTCCCGTTTTTGACTTTATACAGATGTGATCTTGTACCAGTGTTCGCCTTTGGACAGAACAACTTGTTTCCTCTAGTAGGCGGAGGTTACAATTCACGTTTTTCAAGGTTTAACCGCTGGCTGTATTCAAAAACCCGCGCTGGATGTGTTTGTTGTTGGGGACTTTCCTGGTGTCTTCCGAAACGATCTCCAATCGTTGTTGTAGGTAAAGACAGTATTTTAATTTATTTCATTGCTGCCAGGCGGAGTAACTGTCTGCCCTTACGGATGCACGTATTTCTGAACCGTGAGGTGGCTCGGCCCGGTTTTTCAGTAACAACACGTACTCTCTGTGAAAAACCCCTCAAGTAAAGCATGAAATCGAATTGTACCTCATCAAGAGTTAACCTCATTGTAGCAGTGTTCTTACCAGTATATTCCACACTGGGATCCACAGGACCCGTAGAGAAGCTAAAAGGGTCTCATGGGGAAGAAAAGCGGGTCACAATTTTTAGATTTAGTTGGATGGTTTTACTCACAGGTCTGAGTTAGGGTAAATACCTCATACTTTCTTAGATAATAGATATCTAATTTTTACATACAGTTAACTCAACGTTTTAACAGCTCTGAGTTATAGTAAAGACGCCAATTAACCAACTAAATTTTGGCTTATATGACAAGGAAATGTACGTATGTTTAACGTATGTTTAGGTACGTTTTGTAATAGGTCTTCTTTCCTTCTTTGCGCCCTTGGGACCCCTTGGCCTTATAATAGTGTGGCATTTCCCGAAAAAGTGCGGCAATGCCGCGGTCTGGTAAGAACACTGTCGTAGAGTATGGGCATGTCTTCAAAAAGGGGATTTTTCGAGATCAGCATATCCATGGCAACACGGTGACACCATTGCCATTTTTACATTTCCTTAATTTATGAGAAATCTCAAAAATTATTTTTGAAGGTGCTCATAGGATTTAAAATTCATACAACTGTATAGCGTGTTACTGATTTCTATTTTACGTTTTTTTTTCTTTTTGAGAGGGTTTTCAAGCAACCAAATTCAGCATTGTAATTAACCTTGAATTTCGGTTTTTTTTCTTTTGCCCTATTTTATCTTCACAGTAGGTTCGCCCATCCCTGTGGAGAAGGTTGAAAATCCAACACAGGACACCATCGATAAACTGCACTCGCGCTACATTGAGGATATAAAGGAACTGTATAAAAAATACGTCAAAGCGTACCACCCTACGGACAAATCGGAACTTCTTATTGTCTAGGGAGCCACTCGTGAAAGACTAGCACAAAAGGTCTGTTTTATATTTTGAAAGGAAATAAATGGGTGTATCTAAAAGATATTTTTGTAGGGATAATGGAACTTACTTTTTATACGCCAATCCGTGCGTTTTGAATTTTGAATGGCCCGCCACTTTGTTACTAAAAGTAACCTAAGAGTGTTCCTCTGAAATTTTAAAGGTCTTTAGTGATAGATAGTCTTTAGGGATAGATAGAACTCAGTCATGATTCATGATAAGGTTGTAAATTTTAGTTACCAGAAAATCCTTTCTTCAGTTTCTTTCTTATTTAATTGGGAATTCACTNTTTTGCCCTATTTTATCTTCACAGTAGGTTCGCCCATCCCTGTGGAGAAGGTTGAAAATCCAACACAGGACACCATCGATAAACTGCACTCGCGCTACATTGAGGATATAAAGGAACTGTATAAAAAATACGTCAAAGCGTACCACCCTACGGACAAATCGGAACTTCTTATTGTCTAGGGAGCCACTCGTGAAAGACTAGCACAAAAGGTCTGTTTTATATTTTGAAAGGAAATAAATGGGTGTATCTAAAAGATATTTTTGTAGGGATAATGGAACTTACTTTTTATACGCCAATCCGTGCGTTTTGAATTTTGAATGGCCCGCCACTTTGTTACTAAAAGTAACCTAAGAGTGTTCCTCTGAAATTTTAAAGGTCTTTAGTGATAGATAGTCTTTAGGGATAGATAGAACTCAGTCATGATTCATGATAAGGTTGTAAATTTTAGTTACCAGAAAATCCTTTCTTCAGTTTCTTTCTTATTTAATTGGGAATTCACTGGCGGCATACCGTGGCATTTTCCCAGAAAATAAAAATGATATTAGAGATAGACGAGAGGTGTACGCTTCTCCTTCTCGTCGTCAACGCCGTGGTTGCTCGAGCTCGCTTGTAGCGTTAACCAATTCTTGATAGTCCACGATTTCGTTTAAAAACCGACGATTTGATGGAAAAAACGTGACAAAAGCGCCATCCGCGGGTACCAAGAGATCTTAATAGTCCTATTACTAGTAACAATTGCAAATTGGGGGAATGCGTGGGAGGAGGGGTGGTGGGTAGTGAGTGGTAGTGGGAAGGGGGTGCAAAACCTGATGGGCTTGTAATATTGAGAAATCAAAATCAAACGCTTTTATCAATATGAATATCAGCAGTTGTCTTTATCAGTGTTGTTGTTTATCCTCCCACTTAACAATTCGTTACTATTTCATTTTTCCTCAAAAATACAAGAGCGTACTATACTTTTTGCATTTGCTTGGCTAAACCTCCAAGTAAAGTACATGTAAGTAACAACAGGTCAAACACTGACTGTAATCCTCAGGATATCCTTTTGCACTGTAGGATGGTCAATAAAATTGGCTAAAAATTGGGATACAGAAAATTAAAGTTATCTGAAAAGTTTAAGCGTCACGTATCACTTTAAACCCTTTTTGAGTGACACTGGGCTAACACGACTCACCCACTTAGCACTGTTTTCAAAATACAACGCATGAGATATAAAGGTCAACGTTTCCCTGTTCAACTTCTTGTATATTTTTCAAAAATGGTGACAAACAAAAGCAAATACAACGCTGTAAATAGCTTTTAAAAGCGAAAAGATGTATTTTGAAGTAGAATTAAATCTGGTCGATCTAAGCTGATCTTGCTTGAATTCATAAAAACAAATACAGTGTGCAGAACACATTGTTAACATGACATCTACATATCCGATTATCTTAGAACGGAAATTTTCCTACATAAAAAAAAAAACTTAATTGAAAACTGCGAGAAAAACTATAAACAAACCTGTAATAAACAGAAAATCGCCAACATTTCATCTGCGAAGGAGTGTCACAAAATAGATACCAGCCCCCGCGCGAGAAAAACTGAACACATGAGATCGAGGCAAAATGTGCCAGGCCGGTCCAAGATGGCGTCCAAATCGCATGGCATATGGAACGGTTACTAGATCATGTACGGTACACGAATAGTAAGCGTTCTCCTTCGTCGAACGCAATGATCTCTTGCAGGTATCCATATGAAGGATCCCGATTTAAACATCAGACTGATTCCAAGCTATATTTGTACCTGACTGTGACAATTTATTCGTTTTCAGTGTACATTGAACAGTAAAGGAAACGACAAATTTTCCTCGTAGCGCTTTACTGTCTGTTTGAATATTTCTTCCTCTTTAGGCATTTTCCAAGTCACCAAGGCTTCTTTTCGTCTCGTATTCTGCGGTTTTCCTCATTGAATGACTCATTGAATACTATTTTCTCAGTTCATCTTCTCGTCAACTTCTTCCAAGACCATCAAATTCATGCGGAAAAAACTCCTTAGTCTCGTAGTGAAGACAACTGTTTCAAAGGGGCTCTTGTACGCCCTCAGTCTTTTCGGTTTTTACTTACAAATTGCTCTTGCTAAGAGATTTTGTTCAATCTGAAATAATCATGACTTTTTTCAAAACTTCGCGTTATGTTATATAAGCTTTCACAGTTTTCCTGTGACGTCATCTGCATGTCCTGACTCTAAAACATGATAAACAGCAACCAATCATAGCGTGAGTGTACATTGTATAAACTCTCACACTGGCTGTTTATCATTTACAAAAACTTTCCCTGAAAATCCGGCTGGAGAGTAAATGGAACACGACTTTTCGGGTCGCTTCAGTGGAAAATTTCGAAAAAAGTAGTCTTCTTTTTCCGGTCGGAATGTTCTAAACAAAAATTCGTGTTCCATTTCTTCAAAGCCATCTTTGATACCAGTTTCAGGTTTTCGCGGCCGTTTTTCGGTAGATGGAGATGATTTGTGCAAATGGTAAACGCGAATCTGGGACAAAATATACCGGTCTTGAATTTTTTTGCCACTGATTTGCCCAAACCGTGAACCGACTGGTTTGCCCATGTACCCAATTAATAACCCATGTATCTCTCGACCAATGAGAACGTGAGAAATCACTCTGTCAGTTATTGTAAAAATGGTGATAAACTAGGTCGATGAGCAAAAAAATTGTCTTATTATGCCTTTCACAGCTCGCCTTACTTCTCTGATCTTCCAGCAATAAAGTGCAGGATTCAATGACGAGTTTAAATAAGCAATAGTAATTGAGAATTGCCTGGCAAGGTAAGCCGATACGAGAATCCGTCCTTTAGATGTCAAAACTTCCGATATTATGTACGGCAGGTAACAAACAACCAACGCTAACTGCACCCACAACACACGATACACTGCCTTTCTGTATCGATCTATGTTCAGAGAGATTACTCGGTTCGGTTTTAGTCTTTGAGATTTATGGTCTAAATCATGAACTTGGCTATGACCGCGAAGAGTGATGAAAATTTTTGCGTAACAGATACCCGGGGTTACCAGACAGAGAGGTATGGTGAAGTATATCCACCATCGTGCTACAAGGGGATTCCATAACACGCTTGATGTGCCGGCAAATGACCAAACCCACGTAACCGTTAAAGTTACACATATTCTCTTCGAAGTTACAACTTGTCTATATCTGATCCCCAGTAACAGGGAGAGAAGTCTGTCCACAGCTATAGCAGTCATTGTGTGCAAAGAAACGGAACACAAAATATAACCCGAAATTACATTTGCCATTCTCGTGTAAAAGCAAATGTCCCATCTTTCGTACACAGCAGAAAACCAATGAGCAACAGCTACAGGCTCTGCGATGACTCCAACGCAAAGATCCGTTATCGCCAGGTTACGAAACAGCATTTTGGATGACGGATGAAGTGAGGAATTCTTGCGTAGGGCCAGTAGGATCAAGGTGTTTCCTACAAATGCAGCAATGGACAAAAATATATTTAACCCCGAAATAAATATTAGCTCACTGTGTACTTCTCTTGTAAATTCTGAACAAAACAATTCTCCTGTCGTTTTTAAGTTGTTGTCGTCTTGAGTCAAATTGGTAGCTTCCATCTTCTGCAATTAAGAAAAAGAGTGTGCGTATAATATACCCTT